TTCAATCTGAATTTTCAATTGTCTGATCACATGTTCCCAAAGTGATGCTTATAAGTAGTTTTACATGTCTGCTCTCGTTTTTCAAAAATTCTCGCTTTTATTTTCCTACTTTACTGAACATCAATCCCATCCTGTATGGAGTTTTTCATCTCCCATTGGTTCAAGTACTGTTAATTGTTACTAGCTCTGACCTTGAAGGCTGAATGGCAACTAACTTACCCTCCCCTCAGTTTGAACAACCCACGTCACCGTACTCAGGTTGTCGTAATCTAATCTAGGCAGTCTGTCACACAGCATGAGGACCAATAACCTCGACGATACTTTAATTTAACGGTATCACTACTAGACGATATGGAGAATATCCATATAAAATAAAAACAATCAGGATGGTTCAAACACGTTCCACTGAACATTTCTCTTCAATAGTGGAGAAACAAGTTTAGGAATGAATAAACGAATCACTAAGCGTTTCATTCAAATCTGACAGAACCAATATACGCTTACTGCAGAAAAATAGTTACACGAGTGTTGGAGTTTTGGTTTTGTTAATATTTCAAACGTGAAGAACAGTCGGGGAAAAAATGGGACAAATATTATTCCTCTTAATTCGTAAACCAAGCAAAATCGGGGGTGAAGAACACGAATCATTCTCTGACAATGATTTTAAATTTCCGTCAGGCTATACTCCAGTCACGTGACCTTCCCTTTGGATGACACGAAATGAAGTCAAATCCACTTGTTGATTAATTAGACACCACAGAGCTGTGTCACTTACGGAGCTTGCCACTATCCAACATAGCTTTGTTTTCTTGTGTCATTTTGTCAGAAAGGAAGCAGATATAAGACATCTGGACTGACCACCTATTTTGTAGGCAGTGCGTAACATTTCCTAGGTTATAAGAAGACTGTTATTTCGTGATATTTTTGGTTGACTCGAACCATCAATTTGGCTAAGGCAAGCAAGTGACGTCGGATTGCGCCCGCCGACTCCTTGTTGTCAATACCAATAAATTTGATATATGGATGATGTGGACTTTTTCGATGAACTACTGAGTTGGCGTACACTCAAAATAAAAGGATGCTCAACCAGGTTGATGGGTTATCGTTCAGTCGTTTGAGAAACAGGAGAAAAACCGATTTCAACTTCCCAGAAGATGGAAGAAACCTATGGTCAGCGGACAATCGTTGATAATGGACTCCGAGACTCTGACTCTGGGTATTCCTTCTGTTACCCACTCGTGTTTGTAGATAAACTGGGGGTTATATGCACTTGTAAGAATGAAATGAGAACGTTTAAGTCACAGATCATGTGGCATCAGTTTTCCATCCTCCTATATTCAAGTTCGTATCATAAAAAGGATATTTTACAAAGGAATACTGCTTACTGTTGAGTATGTGAATGAAACGCGAACATCCATGTAAAAGCAATAACCGGACTAAACTATATCTTTCAGCCCCATCGGTGAGCAATTTAAACATGTAGCCTGTCTGATTGGATCTGTCCTCACACATCGACCAACTACTGGCACGAACGAGTACGCAGGGGACCTGGTTACTTCGCTTTGACTTGATCAGTTATTGTCATTTTCTTCATTAGCACCAACAATGGACTATAGTAGATCCGTTACCAGTTCATGCGTGTGCAACATTTGAGAATGACTGGGTTCACACAAACGAGGCTGTGCGTAACGGTCAGTGAAACTCATTACAGTTCAAATGAGACACAGATGTTTCAATCAGTAGACAATCTTTAAAGATGTCATAAACTAAGTTCTTCACACGAATGGATGCATACAGAATTAACCACAATCGCTGTGATACCACGACGGTTATTGCAAAGTTTGTCCAGTTCAATAAACTTTTGTAACTGGTCGTTGTGAAAGTAACAGATGAATTCATGTGATCTTGTTCTTCAGCCCGCTGAGCAGACCTACGTTTCAGGGTTCTGACATCGCGCCGTGTTTCTCCTATTCCTGTGACTGTGCTTCCATATCAGTTTCTCCTTACGTTTCAAATAGAATCCACTATACGGAAGCCTTTCTGTTCGAACCGGTAGAAATTCGCTGTCGCAGTGGTTGCGGATCCACTAGTGTGCATTGATAAGTTGACATGTAAGTCGGGTGTTCATCGCGTGCGTATTCTGGAACAGATAATCAAATATTCCATTAAGGACCTTACAGGAGAGCAGAGCATCCTTCTCGTTGATCACATCAGACTAATCTATTTGCGGCCGATTAATGACGGAAGCATGGGAATGTAGCCAAGAATGTTAAGTCCACTTGAGCATGGCAAAAGTCTTATTCAGGATAATGTTATGACATTTCTCCGTAGTGATTACAAGTGGCTTCGTTAAGTGAGGGTTTGCGGCTTCATTTAATTGGCTTTGCCCTCAACTCGTTGAAAAATAAAAAATTTTGATAACAAGAAATAGGTGTAAAGAAAACCATGCAGGACATACCTTATGCCAACGGCAATACTTCCCGGTCTTTCCTAAAGTTCTAGTGGATGGAGATACCAACCACCGGAAGCTGTACGGTGGTTATATTGAATTTCCACCACGGGGCTCGATAGAATATTGCTTCCGTGCATCGCCATGCGCACCACAATTAACCACAATAGAAGTAAATAATTTATCTTCGAAATGTGCGGAACAATTTTAGGACATCTGTTTTCTCTATCATCTCTTGACCAGCTTCTCGGCTAGAAAGTTATTTCATACACAAGCTCGTGTGAACGCAAACTCTCAGTCATAATGTCCAGATACTATGTAACGTGATGGCCCCTGTCCTGAGGAACTACTAATTGCATTGATCAAACATGAACATTTTCAAATGGAGTCTCTTCATCTTAGTGGGTGGCGTAATCTACCAGTAGAAAGAATGTTCGAACTCTGTCTTTCCCTGAATTCTACACAGGTGATATTTATCAAATTTTTTGCAATACTTCCAAAGAATTTATGTTTACATTGCTTGGGAAATAGCACGGGCTCAGTGAAAAGAGTTGGAGCATTCTCATCCGATCCAGGCTCTAATCCGAGGTAGCAATCTTATAGGCACTGCGTCAACAGTACTAGTGATCTGGGAGACGGAAATTACGAAGTACACGGAGTAAGTAAAGTGAGAAACATCTTTAATTTTCTGAGACGGGAGGAGGGTGATTTCTACTGCACGATACTGATCTGCGACTAGAAAACAGCAAAGTACCAAGTGCGAATCTTCAATTACGGTAAATGAGATGATTACATCTGTCAGCCTGAAATGACCTGGGTCATCCCAATAAAGTTTGAGACGTAGGCTGAAACACTCCTATCATGACACTCAAGATGTTCGTGGATGGCAAGAACAAGATAATCGGCTAGAATGACTTTTCAAGTGGGTTTTTTTCGATCGCCAAGGACAAAATCATTTCGACGATTGCTTTAACTAAGATTGTGGTCTTCACACTTAACTCGCTCTTGTATAAATGCTCCACAGGGTAACGATACGTGCACCTAATCCAGTAATTTGGGTGTGGCATGCTTATTCATTTAGTCTACAGACGTGCGCAGTTCCAATGTGTAATTCCATTCTACAATACTTATTAACGTATTGAAAATGGAATGAATATGTATATCGTTGTTTCACTAAGGTTTCCTGGGGCCCGTTCATTGGAGTGTGCGATATAAAATAATACTCTGCATAGACGTCTTGGTAATCTGCCAGGTGTGTTCAGACGACTTCGTTTGTACCAGTAACTCAATTGTATGATTTTACGATCATTTCATACTAATAATCTGAAGACTTTCCTTTGGACCAGGCTTTCAGAAGTAAACGCTAATTCTTACAACACATCTTACTGCATTGCAAAAATCCGTAAACCAGTTCAGTTGACTAGTGGTTTGCGGCATTCCTAGGACCACTGACAAGCGTCACTCAAAACAGAATCTGTTTGCACAGATCTAACAACAAATAATTACAGCATAGTTAAAACCGTAGTAGGATCCAGGTTTGTTATGATTCATCAGTTCCATTATATCAACTACAGTATTATTTTATCTCCTCTAACTTGTAAAGTAAACATTCGTAAGATAACATAGATAACTGAGGTTGTAAAGTTATTTCATACGGCGTTTCACTCACCGGTAACTGCATGACAACTGTATTAGGTTTAAGTTACAGACCACATTCTAAGCCACGTTTCTCGCTTCCGCCATTCATCTGTACTCGATCCAATCTCGGTTCATCTGGAACAACTCCGCTTGTTTATACTGTAGCTGTGATACATATGGGTTGTTGTTGAATGTTTGGGACAATTTTGTTGCTCACTGCGCAAGTTATCATTTACAAAAGGTGTTTTCGAGCCAATTTTTTCAGTGGACCTACTAACCAAGACTTCGCGAATCCAACATGTATGCATTAAATTGTATTTTTAACGGTCTGTGTAACGGGACCTGTTATATCCGGATAGGCTACACTGTTCCCAAATCATGAATTTAAAACAGCAGCAAACTTATCCCGCTCATTCACGTACGCAGAATTGAATACAATTAATGTATTTTCGCTACCACGCGCAGACGGATAGTAAATCGTTTCCAACGGTAGAACTGAGACCCACAATTTTTGTAATTTTTATTGCCACAACCTTTGAAATGTGACATAACAAAAACCAGCAATTCAACGCTATTAAACAGCAATCGTGTCATTGGATTTCGACGAAAGTTGTTTCAAAATACTGCCTGCGCAGTCAGTCTCATACAAAAATTAATAGGATCCATAAGACAGAAAATAACGGGAGTGAACGAGTAAAACAGTGAAACGGTTGAACAACCCAAGTGAAATTGTAGCTCTCATGGTGAAAGCTTTGGCAGATCTGACCACGCTCCATCATTCGCGGAATCGTATCAAATAGAGAATTCAAAATTCAAAAATTTATCTGCCAATATCGGTCGTATACGTTCACCATTTGTCTGGCAGAGAACACACGGTTATGCATACGAAATTGATTGATAGGATGGAAAAGCATGGAGTACCTGGGCATCGATCCCAGTACCTCTCGCATGCTAAGCGAGCGCTCTACCATTTGAGCTAGTACCCCACACGGGCCGATCACGAACACCGACTGACAATCGCAATCTGAAAGCCTTACCAAAACATCACC